ATTATCTCAAAAGGGAAAGATAAAGAAGCTGTATAGCTGGGTGGAAGCGGATATTGACTGATTGTTATTAAATACAGCCTCCACCAAAAGAATAATGGCTTTATATACTACTGAAATGGAGGAACTCTGTCCAGATTTCAATTACAAGTATATATTGGACAAAATTCTTGAAAATACTGAACAAATAATTGCCTATACACAAGAGATTATTTTTCAATGACAAATCAAAGCGCAAGGTGTAAGTGAGCACTTTGTAAGCCAAGAAACAGCAGAAGGGGTATATACTCAAGAGACTCATCTTCAACCTTATCCACAATTTACTGAGATGGAGGAATTAAACTTACATCAGGACTACCAACCTACACCGGAAAAAACGTTTGATGCTAATGAACAAATGACTTTTAGCACGGAAACTAAGGATGTTACCCCAGAAGGGCAGGCTGATCTCCAGACTCCAACTGATTACCTGACATATAAAAAAACCAATAGGAGGAGAGCAAAATAATATTAAAGAAGACTCTACATTATTTTGTAGACAATCTATTGAGACTCTGGATGACTCAAAAATGACTGTAATTAAACTAGACGTAACTTCAAAAAAGATGAAGACGGATCTTCAACCATGAGCTATTGAGAATCGCTACAACTTTTTCACTAGCCTATTAAAATGGACAATGGGAGATTCTCCCCTGACTTATGCGTTACGGCAAGAAATGGAGGGAGTTTTATTTGCGGACTTAGAGGCCTTACTATGGAAACCCATTTGGAACAGAAAAAAAGCTAGAATAAGATATAAATATGGAATTTAAGATTACATTTATGGGTTGCAATGGCTTTATAGAGATGTGGATTGATTTGGATTCGGATTTTTAAAAGGTGTTTTTAGGATAAGATTTAGAATTTAACATTGAAATATGGTAAGAATATATTTTTGGGAATAATAGATCTTCCTTTTTTTCTCTTTCTTTTTCTTGGTTTCTTTTTGTTTCTTTCTATTATTTTTTTCTATTTTTCCTATGCTTTTTATTATTAGATATGATAGCTAATTTGTGGAGCTATAATGATAAAAAGATTGTAATGATGGAAGAGATGAAATTAATAAATGAAGAATTACTGAATAAGAAATAGAATATAGTTGAGAAATGTAAGAATGTAATTATGGAAATAATATGCTTAAATAAGAGAAATTATGGACACCCGAATTGTAAAGAATATTTTTGCCTAAGGCTAAGTTAGATATGGTATTTGGAAATTAATAAACCTAAAAACAGGGTTTGATTTACATCGATGAAAGGCTGCTGATAATTTCTAATGATTAATTGAATTCTTATTTAGGAATGTATTAATGAATTAATTTTACTTAGAAATGTATTAGTTTGACTATATTATTCTAATTGTTAGAGAGGGAAATTTTAAGGAGCATTATTTGAGCTATATATGTATGATGTTATTGTACCTAACTGATTACCCTATCTCCACATTGTTTTCTAAGCGTTCTGGTGTAAAAATAGAAAAATCAATAAAATTGGGGGGAAAAAAGTTGATTCTTAGGACTTATATCTCAAAACTCTAGACCATTGTTTATTTGTCAGTATGAAAAGATAGTCTCAATTTTTTTTATAGACAAGCACTAAACAATTCATAATTCATAAACTAATCACTAATATATACTGATAAACGTTTTTATTGTTAAAATTAACTTGGAATATACAGCCCTCAATGTTGACTTATTTTGAAGTTATGATATTGTGAAATGAAACATTGGGACAAAGTTGATGCAGTTTCATACCATTTAAAAATAATGTTTACTTGACAACAATATTGTGTGCTGCGTAGTGTTGCTTTAGCTATTCATACATACTGTATCAATTGATCACTCAAGATTTTACATATATTGAACTACATTGAGATGAAAAGTATTCAGCTAGTAAAATTCTAAGTAATTTGAACCTAGTACCTTGAGTGTCATGCTATATGAATGTACACATCTAGGTTTGTTTTGTTATACATCTTCTAGGTATAGAATCATAGAGTTGGAACCTTCATAGTCTTCTAGTCCAAACCTCTACCCAGAGCAGAAATCTCAGGCCATCCCAGACAAATAGCTGAATAATCTTTGCTTGAAAACTCTCAGTGATGGAACACCCATGTCTCCAGGAGGCAAGGTGTTCTACTGCTTAATCGTTCTCATGGGCAAGATGTCTTCCTTTTTTCAGTTTGTTTCCCTCTGTAAACTTTTCATTCATTGATTTTTGTCCTACTTTGGAGAATAAACCCACACTCTCTTTCCTGTGACAGCTCTTCAGCTTGTTTTATCTTGTTCCTCTGAGCTTTTTCTTTTAAGTTAAATTTATCCATATCCTTCACAGGACGGATTCATTTCATTTCCGTCATCAAATAGCAAACACAAAAGTATGATTTTTATAACATATAACTTAAGTAGTGACTTGTGTTTAGCTCACCTTTCTAGTCCTTTAGGAATAATAATTAGCACTCATTCTGATCTACAAATGTCTGAATTCTATTTAACTTTAATTAAGAATGTAACTAAAGTTAATTTTCCTTTTACACTTCTGTGTTACAAAAATTGGTTATAAGAAAAAAACATATACTTCATTATTAATTTCATAGTGAAAGAAATTAGCTATATTTTAAAACAGTTTTTCAGTAGGCATTTCAGCTATTCAATTTGAGAACATTGGGTCTAAAAATACAAATCACATCCTATCATAATCCAAGGAAGGCTTCTGAAATTTTTTTACAAAGTTAATGCCAGCAAAACATAAATCAATAATCAAGCGCTTGGTTGGCAGTGAACAGGAGGGGGGATGGCTGTAATTGTTATAATATGGCACAATGATGAAAGAGATTTAGACATCTTTTTTTAATGATATTTCTGGATTGTAAGGGGAAAATAGAGGTAATATAAAGCTGCATAGCTGATGCAGCATAACCATAATAGGCCTGGTTTCTTTACTTCCTCTAATCAAAACAAAGGAATCACTTTGTTTTTAAGTGCTACTTTTCTATCAGGAATCAAGAAATTGTATTATTAATGGGCATCTTACAACACGGGATTGCATTTATTATTCTGAAGGAATAGCATGTGACTTGTCATAAGAATATTTATGCAGTCTGGTATGTTACACTGATTTATGACCAAGGAGAGTATCTTCGTCTTTAGTATATTCAAAGACCATATTGTTTCATAGGTTCAGACATATTCTAGTTATTTTCTCACTCCTATTAACCATCAATAGGAAATAGTGATAAAAATGCTGCTTTTTGGTTAAAACCAAGTAACAAAACACAAAAATGAATAACTGTAGGATAACTCAATTAATTGTAAATATGAATAATTTGTAATTTGTATTCTAGGTTTAAAAATATTTTCATAATCCCAAAACATATTCCTGAAATTCTTTTGGCATTTGCATTCTTTTTATATTCAGCATAGTAACAATGGTTGCGTCTTTTTAATTTCTACTGGCTTCAGTACTGATTTTTACCTATTTTAAAACTATTTTTTTAAAAAAATCATTCTTAGTTTCCTTGAATGCCTGCAAATGGGTTTATTAGACTATCAAGTCATAACCCTGCTCAGTGCAATAAATCAAAATAAATAATCGTTGGTAAATGGATATATATCTAACAAAAGACAGTTCACCACCTCATAAGAGGTTGAATTATTGTTATTATTAGGATGATTTTCCTAAGTTTGAACTAAAATCTGCCTCTGTGGTATTTAAAATTATTATTCTGTATCCTGCATTTTGGGATAATAGGAAACAACTTTTATTTTTCTATTATTTGCTATTACTTTAGTACTTGAAAAGTGTTTTATTTTTGTTAGTATTCTCAAGCCTAAACATTATCCAACTGAAATCTTACATCTTTACTTTCTTTGCTTAGGTTCTAGTTTCTCTGATACTTTCTTAAAATGTGGTACACTGATACATAATTGAGTCTCACCAATGGGAAATTAGTTCTTCCTATCTCTGTAATTATTGTTTTAGTTATTTCATTTTTAAAAAATATGAAAAGCTTCATGAATTTTCATGTCATCTTTGCTCAGGGGTCATACTAATCTTCTCTGTGTCATTCCAGTTTTTAATATATGTGCTGCTGAAGTGAGCACCATTTTTTTCTATCTTCTTCTCTAGCCTATCAAAATCATTTTGAATTGTGTGTCTGTTTTATGAAACTTTAGCTATCCCACACTATTTTGAGTCATCTTCAACGCTGATAAGCCTTTTCCCCATTTCTATTTTACTCGCTAATGAAAATGTGGCACAGGACCAAACCTTGAGGCATTCCACTCCTGTCTGAAGAGCTTTCAAACCAGCTGTGGAACTACTTAATAGACATCTCATTCAACTCAGTAGCTTGCAAAATCAGAATGCCATGGCTACCGCTTGTCTGAAGTGCTTTCTGAAGTAAAAATATATTGCATAGTAGAAAAAAATGTATTGCCATAGTAGAAGAAAACGTCCTAAGTAAAAAATGAAATCAGATTGTAGTAAGACATTTTCTTTAAAAAACCATATTGCCTTCTGATAGCGATCACACCTTGTTCAATGTACTTAGACATTGAACAGTTTATGATCTCGTCTGGAATTTTCTAGTACCTATCCAGGAATTGATGATAGGTTATGGTCCCAGATTTGCCTTCTCGCCACATTTGTTGCCCTACACTTGAGAAGCATTTTGTTTATTTTCTAGGATTTCTTAAAGATAATATTATCAACAGGGTGAGAAAGTATTTTGTAAAAGAACTAGGATTTACAGCAGGAGTCTCCAAACCTTGACAACTTCAACTATAGAATTCTTCAGTTGCCACATTTGGAGACCTCGGCTTTACAGAGTTTGCCTTTCAACCAATATTGTGAAAATTGAAGTTCCCCATCTTTACTTCTTGGATCTTGGAAAGACCTGCAGTTAGCTTTTGGAAGGCATCAGCCACATACTCACCTAGATGGCTGGCTCAGGTGAATAGAAAGCTGAAAAATAAAAAGTAAAACACATTTGGGGAAGAAGGCCCAAGTTACTTATGAAAAGAGACTTGATTATAAATATGTTAGATTGCTGGGGAAAAATCAATAAGTTTGCTAATGGGAGTTATCCTTCAAGAGTTTTCAAAAGTTCTTGATTTCTGGTCATGGAGAAATCCTGTTTTTAAAATCTGATATGTCTTCTCATTTTAAAATATTGCAATGCAATAATTTTTATTATGCTAATCTTTTTAAAAATTACCGTTTAATTCCAACTGTCTTTAACAGTCAGGATCCTATATATTACTACATAACTCATAATATTATAAGATTTAATGAAACAAACCCTGCATTACAGTACTACAAGCATGCATTAAGATGTATAATTGCAGAATGCAAGAGTATCTCAAGGAATTCCCACCAAATGATAGCTCAAAGCTGCAAAGGAAAGGGCATTCTTGGTTGTTGGACCCTACTTATGAAATCTGTCCCCAGAGCCTGCATAATATCTTTGTTGCCTTCCAGTCCAAATCATTTTTCATTTTTATTAAAAAGAATGCTTTAATAATTTTTGAACTTAGTTTTTGATATTGAGTGACAAAATTATGCTGTAATAATGACTTTGTTTTATATATAAACTTTTCCATCGTCTATTGTAATTCACTTTTTTGTATTTGTTCTTTTCGACTTTTATAGTTTTAGCAGCCTGGGAATTTTCCCATGAATGCTGATTAGGGATTACAATCAAGTTTGGTATTACTTAATTTTGGATGGATTGATTCTTTTCCTCGATATAGCCAAAGTTTGGAAAAGGATCATATTAGATCCATCAAAAATTGACACTGGGAATCAAGAAATATCCAAATTAAACATAAAATGATCAGAAAGATAAGAGAGTTCCAGATATTTTTAACTGATAATTATCCAATAAGCAATTATTTCTCATTACATTGTTGTAATCTGTGAAATGTTTGATATAATAAGTAACTCTGATAAAGAAAAAAGATCTAAAGAATGTTAGGCAAAAGAGTGATATTTTCCACATTAGTAAAATATGATAGCAATAGCACTTAGACTTATATACCACTTCATAGTGCTTTACAACCCTCTTTAAGCATTTCACAGAGTCAGCATATTGCCCCTAATATGTTGGGTCCTCATTTTACCGTCCTTGGAAGGATGGAAGACTCTGATTATATTGTTTGCTTTCTGGGGTGAATGTATAATACAAACTGTTGAAACAATAGTAGATTCACACATAGTTTAAACACAGAGTCAATTGCAAATTTTCATAGCTTATCCTGCTATAAATAGAAAAAGTATTAACATCATGGCTTGCACATTCCTATCTGATTTATATTTGTGTAACCTGTTCATTTATAGTTTAAAAAAATCTCCAAGTTTAGAATAGAATAACAGAGTTGGAAGGGACCTTGGAGTTCTTTTAGTCCAACCCTCTGCTCAAGCAGGAAACCCTATATCATTTCAGATAAATGGTTGTCTCTTCTTAAAAACTTCCAGTATTGGAGCATTCATGACTTCTGGAGGCAAGTTGTTCCACTGGTTAATTGTTCTAACTGTCAGGAAATTTCTCCTTAGTTCTAGGTTGCTTCTCTCTTTCGTTAGTTTCCATCCGTTGCTTCTTGTCCTATCTTCAGATGCTTTGGAGAATAACTTGACTCCCTCTTCTTTGTGGCAGCCCCTGAGATATTGGAACACTGATTTCATGTCACCCCTCATCCTTCTCTTCATTAAACTAGACATATCCAATTCCAGCAAGCATTCCTTATATGTTTTAGCCTCCAGTCCTCTAATCATCTTTGTTGCTCTTCTCTGTACTCTTTCTAGAATCTCAACATCTTTTTTACATTGTGGTGATCAAAACTGGATGCAGTATTCAAAGTGTGGCCTTATCAAGGCATTGTAAAGTGGTTTTAACACTTCGTGTGATCTTGATTGAAGTTAAGCAATGAGAAATGCAATGGTGTAGTGGTGAGGGTGCTGGCCTAGAAAGCAGGAAATTTTAGTTCTAGGTCTGCCTTTGGTTTGAAAACAGGCTGGGTGACTTTGGATTGGTCACTCTCTCTCAGCCAACTCACCTCAGAGGATTGTTGTTGTGGAAAAATAGGGGGAGAAAGGAGAACTGGTATGTTTGTCATCTTGAGTTGCATATAACAAGGAAGGACAACAATCTAAAACAAAATGTGCAGGAATTGCTCTATCTTAAAATAAAACCTTTCCCATAATAAAGCAACACATTAATAAAAGTACAACAGCCATTTCTTTTCCAATTATTTTTGTATCTGAAATGGGAAAGAAACTCTACATGTGAAATTTTAATACTCTACATTTGTGCTCAAGATTTGTTAATAACACTTTGAAAAGCATAACTTAAAAATGAAACTTTTTTATTATTCAACTCAAGTTATGGGTGAATGGACCATTTTACAATAATATTACATTTTAAAACCAAAACTATAAAAAGATGCTTAATGTAATTTAAATGTGTTTTTGAAACACTGATGGAACATTTCTTTGCAGATTTTTTTTTTTATCCCAGTCTCATACACACACTGTCTCACTAAATTCTGGTAAATATATTTTTACAAACACATTAGGTGAGTAATTGTTAATCATGTAATTTTCAAAACAACAGTTATTTATGTTTGGAATTCCAAGACCTTTTCTTGATTTACAGTTTCAGTAGAATGAATTGTTCTTCTTTCAAAGCTTTGTGAAGAGAGACTAAGTATATAGTTAACATTTCAATAATATTCACAGAAGAATCCATAGTATGTAAAAAATGATTGTTTTTATTGCTGCCTCCCAAGCATTTCTTTTGTCTGCACCTGTACATGTGAGCATAGCACATTCTTTCAACTACACCTCCAGAAACTGCATTTCAATGTACAAATGGGGGACTGAAGGCAGTAATTTTGAGATTATTGCCACATTGCCAACAATAGTTTGATTCCAGACAGTTCTACTGCCTATGAAATGATTTAAAGAAGTAGAACATACGCTAAGAGTGTTAAAATTTTGAATAAGAAACAGTAAGAATGGGATGCATATTTCTTAGCAAAATTTAGGAGCCATCAATATTTTTTTGGAATCCAGATAGGATACATCTTCTTGACTTTTAAAACAATCCACAAGCTTCTAACCAATGTCCATGTCTATTAAGTAGGGTTTTTTTTTTGTCCCCCTGCATAAGAACATAAAACAAGTTCTATAAAGATCATAATGTGTATTTTATGATTTTGGAGCACTTCAGTCAGATTACTAAGTAAGTACCTGTAGGAAAAATAAGTGTTGATAAAGCCCTCATTTTGGCTTGGCAAAATTATTTAAAATTAAGTACTCAGAGGGATAACATATGCTTAAATTACACATAATCGCTCCTACCTCAATTGATGAAAACATTCATTGCTGTTATCCCCATTTGAAAATTATATATATATTTATATTTATATGTATATCTCAAAATAGCCTTAACCTTTTGAGGATCATATTAGCAGCAAATCACAATTTAGACTAGGCTTCCCCAATCTGGTACTCTTCAAATGTGAAACGGGAATGCTTGGAAATTCTGAAAGGACAGTCCCACCACATCTGTGGGTGTCAGGCTGCAGAAGGCTAGTCTAGACAGAAAACAAAGACCATCTCAAACATATAGGAAACTATTGTTATAAAGATACCATAAAACTCCTTTCTGGCATCTTTGTCAAGCAACTGATACAGACAAAAATCAAATGGAAAAATTGCACATGGTTTCAAGAATTGTCAAAATCTCAAAGGGTTAAGCCAAGACCTTCAACAGAAGTGATGTATTAAAAGGGCGAATTGGGTGAGCGAACAGTCTCAGATGAACTTGGTGAATAGTCTTCTGATTCAGAGTTGAGTTCAGGAGGTGGTGGCTGTGGCTTAAAACGTCCCCTCACATCCGGGTTGCGTCTTCGTCGGAAAACCTGCCTCTCCTTATCAAGAGCGGTGGTCTGGCAGGGGCATAAAATGAGAATAGATGAGATTAGGCTGTGCATGAAACAGCAAATCTGACTCTCATTTTTCCTCTTTTTCAAAGCAAACCTCAACCCAGGTCAAATTAACCCCACCCCACCCTCCACAATCACCAGGTTTGGCTAGTTTTGCAAGCTTTAATCCATTACATGACTCAATTCATATCAAAGTGCATAATCCAACCTATAAAGAGGCAGTGTGATCTCATCAAGCATGTACAGTATGAGTGCATGTCTCTGTATGGATGCCATATGTTAGACTTCTGGAAGCTATTAATTTTTTTTTGAATAATGGGTTCAGGTTTCAGGCAAGATGCAGACTAACTGCTTTTTCAAATGAGGTCTTGGTTCTGAATAGAAATTCAATGCAATTTAATCAAATGAGAGAAATAAATATTTGCCAATGTTCAAAATAGTGAAAGTATTCATAAAAATGCATTGCTACAAATATTGGATTTTGATAGAACGATCAGACAAGAGAGAGGTATTCTCAACATGCTTACTCCTTCTCTCACTTCATGCTCTCACTACTCATTACTCCTCTTTCCCTTTTAACTCAGGCATTTGCACACACATTACAAAAGCACACAGACCATTTCTCCTTCCCATAAGTTTGCACTAAGTTTCCCTGTTGCTCTTTTTATACGTTTTCTAGCCAAACAAACTACTCTTCCCATTCTCTTCATCTCATGTTGGCCATGTCTCAGTGTGAATTAAATTGCTACCAAATTCCAGTGTGAGCTGGAATTTCTTGGGTGACAGGCTTAGTATAATAATAATAATAATAATAATAATAATAATAATAATAATAATAATAATAATAATAATAATAATAATAATAATAATAATAATAATAATAATAATAATAATAATAATAATAATAATAATAAAGTTGGAAGGGATCTTGGAGGTCATCGAGTCCAACCCCCAGCTAGATTCTCCTCACCACTACCTATTTCCTATTTAAACATAGACACAGAGAGACTTTTGGAAAGATTTAAACTACATCGACAGAAATTCAAGTAATTATTTAATAACCTGATATAATGTTGGCCCTAATAAGCATGTTTTTAATTTTCAGAGCCAGTCCAAGTTTTGTTAGTTTGGGATGTCTTTAAACATGCAGTCAGAATCCCAAAATGTAATAAAAGCAGAAGATGGACAAAGTTTATAAAGCAAATGGATTCAGTTAAGCTAAATTGTTCCACTAATAGTTTTATAGTTAGAATATTTAAAGGACTGATAGAAAGTGGCAATAAAAGTTCATCTTTGGATCTTGGGGGGAAAAAAGACAATACTAAACTCCAACTGCTATCGTTTGCCAAAAGTTCTTTGTTTACAGTTGGTCCTTGGAAAAAGCCTAAAACGGTTTTCAAAGTTGTGCTTTAAAACCAACTTTATGATTATATTTTAATAGAAAGCAGAAGACATTTGGAAACATATTCACATTACAGAGATAGAATTTACAGTATATAATTCTCTGTAACAAATGGAGAGAATGGCATACATTACTATTCTATGACATACAGATTTGCATTTAAAATATTTCTGTGCACAAAAGGAGTTCATTTAAAGATTGACTCACATCACATCATTTTTATATTAATCCCAGATTCATGAAAAAATTTTCCTTTCAGCAGGAAAGTCTAAATTAAAATCTCCACTACAATCCAGAATAACTTTCTCCTGGTGCAAGGATAAGCAACTTTTTGTTTTGATTTTAAGGATGAACTAATCCTCATATTTCTATGTGATTGGGGTTCATATTGTTTAAATCAAAATCTTTTGCTCTTATGTCTAATTCAACCCTTTACTTTTCTAGTTATCCAGATCAATAAGCAACCTACACATGAGAACTATAGCAAAATCACGATCTATGACACATCCATGATGCAGGAGTAGATGACCTCCAAGGACCCTTCCAACTTTATCATTATTATTATTAATAATATGTTTGCAAAAAAAAAAAAAGATCCTGGTCCCTCTTTAGCATTATTTTGACTTATAATGAGAAGGAGGAGGAGTTTTCTACCTTCTAAGACAAAGGCTGTAATGGTAGAGAATATGAAGTTGTGTATGATGGGTTGGGAGATGTTAGAAGAAAAGTTATGGAGCAATTACAAATTTCCTTTGGCACTATTAGCTTAAAAGATTGTTTATTCCTGTATAAATCTTAATAAACTCAGTTGAAAATTGATCCATCATGTAAGTGGCAGGCTTCCATGAAAGTGACAGCTATTGAAGTAGATGTTGAAACTTCAGATCCTCCTGTCTTTCTATCTTTGTAAATCATACTTCTTTCCAAGATGTCCATACACCATTTCATATACTGCCATTTATCTTGAAATTTCTCATCCAGTTTGTGGATGGAATTTTTTTAACTCTTTCTCTTCCCTGAGACCTATTTACTCTTTCTTCATATATTTATTTTGCAACTTTATCTTCATTTATTCTGTTGTATGTAACAAATATACTTCAACATTCTTATTTTATACCAATAATTCATGTTTGTTTTCAATCTGCATTCATTTAGCAGATTTAATCTTATTTCTGCATTTTTCAACTCATAGACTTAGGTACCCCATTCTGATGGTTTCCAATGTTTATCCTGATGTATACAACTCTCACTTCTGCACAATAACACAGCATCTTATTTACAGCCATTTTTGCTTCTATCAACCAGTATTTGGCCCTTGCAACAATTCATATCATAGAAATATACTTTTTTTCTGCAAGCACCTGAATGTTTTATCATTTTTCCATCTTTTTCTACATTCTATCAAGATACATGTCATTCTACAATACAAATTCATTTATTTGCTCTACTTTTTCCATAATTTATGAATAATTACTTTATTTTCCTGTTAAGTATAACCTTATTGGACTTTGATTCATTAATGATCAGGCTCCATTCTCTTCATTGAACTATAAAAGTTAGTATTTTCTGTAAAATATTCAGGTTCTCAGTCAACAACACAGTACAAAGAACAGCCCTATTCTTATTCTCCAGTGAATGTACCTTTAATGTAATCAAAAGTAATCCTTATATGATTATCCATGAATAGATTTAACAACTTAAATGGCCTCATACATCCTTGTCAAGATGGTAGAAAAACTAATTACTAACTTTGATAGAAACTGAGGCAAGGAAGACTAGATTTAATTACCTATCCTGTCAGGTGACCTAATGGCTATGATCGGAACTAGGCTACGCATGCCATTTGTGACACTAGTCTAGATTAAAACCTAAATGAATCTAGGCATATACTGAAAGACCTGACATGCTAAACAATTTTATTTATTTTTCACAGAATTGCTGTGTGTTTCAAGAAAAATATAGAGAGCTAACAATTCCAGGTAACAATTGATGTGGAAAATGTTTACAAAGACAACTAAGAAGCCTCTATTGATGTTCTCCAACACCTAACTGACTTTGGCTTGTTCTTGAAAATAATAAGCAGGGTCAGATCTGGTCATTACTAAATATGACCACCAATAAATCCTAGATCTTGAAGAAGATAGTAGAAAAACTGTTCCATTATTGTGAAAATATTCCTGTAGGCACCATAAATTGCATTTGACTTTTTTTTTAACTTGCTTGAGGTAAGACTTCCAAAGTAAACAGAATATATTATTTTAGAAAGATTTGCACCAGCTAATTGGTATCAAGCACAATTTGTAACACTGTTATTAAATTGTAAATCCCTGTCTTCAAGTGTAAGAATAATTGAACTACTCAGTAAAAGACAGGAAATAAATCTAACTAACAAATGAATAATAGCCTCCTAGAGTCTTTTGGAGTGGGGAGGCTATAATACATCTAATAAATAAATAATAAATACATTTTTTACTCCATGCATGTTCCCATGGCAATTAATATTAAATAACCTACAGTGATACCTCAGTATTCAACTGCTTTAAAACTCATTGAATTTGGTACTTGATACATTTGACACAGAAATGTTGTCCCAGTACTCATTCGTTTGGTACTTGATCTGCTGTGACTGGAAGAGGGGGACGTCCATGGAGAACAGACAGAAAGTCAGCCATGCCAGGAAGGTCATTGCAAAAGGAAGCAAGGATGACCACCGAGGGCAGACAGGAAGTCAGCCATGCTGGGAAGGTTGCTGACATAGGAAAAGGGACAGATAGGAAGTCCTTCCTGGCCAAAACAAAGGGTCATGTGGTAAGTCATATGGTTTGTTTAGTACTTGTTTTTAGTACTTATCGTGCCTTCTAGAACCAATTAACAAGTGCCAAGGTACCGCTGTATTCCAAATTCCATCAGTATGTAAAATCATATTGACTTAAGTAAGATAATAGAGCTTGAATTAGTTAGAATAAAAAATATTGTGTATAATACTATAGACCAAGAAGGGTTCATGAAACTTCCACACTCAAATCTATATAATGTTATTCAGTTTTACTAATGTTAAGTTCCAAACATACTTTATCATTGTCTCTATCAGCATAAAACTAAATGGCAGTTTTCTCACCATTGTTCTTTCCTTTTTTTTCTTTGGAAAAAAGCAATGTTCCCATTTAAATTCTGGCAGGATATAAAGCTAAGATTTTCTTCCTTTTTATTTCATCATATTCATATCTTTTAAGTGAGGAACTTAAGGACTGTGATTTGACAAAATCACTCTAGCTTTAAAGATTGGAGCTCAACATAATATCTTCATAATCTTATTGTGATTACGCCATCTACTAGACCTATAATTCATTATATATTAATCAATCCAAATGCTGTTATACAGTATAATAGACAAAGCATTGTGCTTCTGTATAGATTCCTTTACTATATTAGTATTATTAGACATTTGATGATATCAATGAATAAAATACACTTGCAAGGACTGGTGTTTTTTTTTTTTAAAAAAGGATGCACTCGTTTTTAATGTTTCCTCCCCAAAATGAAAATACTAGAACATCCAAGTTAAATTAACATTTATATGTTAAATATGTTAAAAAGTATC